TTGTCTGTGCCCTCACTTTTATTATCTTAAATAACTACAACTCAGCCAAACGTCTCAATCCAATCAACGATAATCACAGAAAACACAATTACGACAACAATTTGGGCGACGATTCGGCCGCCGATGAGCCGCCACTTTCGCCCTTCGAGGAGGCGGTTATGGTTGACACCAATTGCGGGAAAGTCATCGGCACTGTCGAGGACGGGGCCTTTGCCTTCAAGGTATTTATTGTTCACACTAATCAATACTACCTATTGTTTTGCAATTGTTATCATTATTGTAAATATACCTAAAAATTATAACATCTCGAGTGTTATGTCTTGACTCCGGAGGATATCTCATAATATTGATGTTTAATCAGTAATACTGTATATTCTTATCTATCTATCACTCCATACAATGAGACACTATTTTGCATAAAATTTACATCCGATTTTAATTTAAATAATTTAGCGTTTTATAAAATACCAAGGCAATTTATTATACTTGTTCAATAATAATAGGCGTAACATAAATAAATGTATGCATAAAATATAATCTCAATAGTATTTGTTTGAAAAGTATTGTTTAATATCGGATCAAAAATAGTAGAAAATCTAAAAATAAATAGAAAATAATGGACTTTTACTCACATTTGAATCTAAGAACTGAGAAAACAAAACAATTTCTTTACATCGATAGACAACTCAATACTTGATTTTTGTTTTTCTGCTTTTTTTGATGGAAAAGTTTTGTAAAATTTGATTATATTTTCTACGAGTTTTGTTTCGACTTTTGTCGTCGACTTATATTCAAGTGAAACGATTGAAGAATAAAATAATAACAGAAAAAACTATATTTTATTTAAAGAAAATAAACTTCTGTTCGGTTTTAGTTGTGTTACAAAAGAAAAGCAAAATAAATGGGAAAATTGAGACGAAATGAGAAGAAAAAGTTCAGAAAATTTTCCAAAGAGAATGAAAATGAAAAAATCGACAAAAATATGAGGAAAATTCAATTTCACAATTGAATCGCCAAACAGTTGATGAATAAGTGCTGCAAATGATCGATGATTTGCTCTCAATTCAAATGTATAGCAAACACCACACCATATAATGATTGAAATCATTACTTAAAGCAGACATTAATTCACACCAAAAATAACTGTACAGTAGATTAAAAGTGTCTTTATTTACGGCCAAAAACACATTCCGCTCTCCGTTTAAACTCATTATCGGTTAATGAGTTTTACATCATTTAAATGTTTTCCAAACACTTTTTCCCATTCATATCGATTGGACAACACTTACCACTAATAGTACTATTAATTTATAAAACAAAATATCTTGTCTTTCAGGGCATTGGTTACGCATTGCCGCCTTCGGGAGCCCTGCGGTGGTCGCGACCGATACCCGTATGGAGTGATTGGCAGGAATGCCATAAACGCAAGAATCGACACAAACGGGTCAAACACTTCGGAGACATTTGTGTTCAATTCAATCCTCTCAACAAACAAATTGAGGGCAAAGAAGACTGTCTTTATCTAAACATATGGACGCCGAGACTCGACGACTCGGTAATGAGTTAAATGCTCTCTCTCTCTCTCTCTCTCTCTCTCTCTCGTTTCTTATTTTTGTAGTGGTTTTTGCTCTCATTTTGTGTCTATCTTTTGTATTTTACTCTATCTTTAGATCAAAATTGTTTCAAAAGATTGTTTTTTATTTCTCATTTCTCTCTTATTTTTATTTTATTCTCAATTTTATTTTCAGTTTAAGGTTTAGTTATATATTGTGGAGAAAAACTACTTTTCTTTATTTAATAGTGTTTTGCAGAGCACTGTATGGTATGCTATGGTATACGCCGTATGTCTGCAAACAAAACCCAATATCCTTTCATTGCTTTAATCTTTTAGACGACTGAATAAAAGTGTATTTTTTATATATAAAAAAGTTATTTTTATGATAAAACACTTTTGATGTATTCGTCTCCCAATTGCTCTTATATTTTGTACTTAAGTTTAGATACTTTCAAATAAACGTCAGCCGACTCTTCCCTATCAGTGCAGACAATAGACACCAATAATTTAGTTTACAATCCAAAGATTTAAAACCCAGGGGTCTATAGTTTAGCCCTTTAATTACATCTGCCATCGATTACTAGGGCTAACATTAAAGTCGTTTTTATTTCAAATATATTTGTAAAACTCTGTATAAAGAGATTTTAAAGCATTTTTGTTGTCCGAAGACTATATGCCAATCGCTTTATTGTGGAGATTGTGTTTGATTTTCAAATTTTATTCAAATCAAAACCGCCTCAACTCTCAGCTCCAGAATTGATTTATTCCGGATT